GAATTTATTGTAATATTACTCCAACAGTGAAACACAATCATTAGGGTGGTCAAACATTTTACCAATTTTTTTTTCTGGTTTTCCCATCATTAACGATATACTTATTTTATACTAATCGTAAGTGAACGAAAATACCATTCAGATTCTTAAATACGTTTTTTTTAGATGTAGAAGAATTTATAATCTAAAACAAAAAAATTGGTACCTTGTTTCGCACAATAGATTTTTTAACGAAGATAACAGAATTAAATTTCAACTTTACTATTGAACATAATCACCCTGTACACGAAAAAGCTATTTTCTAGTTTTACAGTAGATTCAGAGATATTTATAAGATTCGTACTTGCAATTATTAATTTAATAATGATTTTTAACAAGTAATGAGTTATCCACTTTTTACTTAAGATAACAATTTTTACTTACATTAGTTATTTGAAGTTAAGGCAGACTTGTACGTAGATGTAAAAATTACTTTTAAAAGACTTACCAAGATCAGTGAGAGCACGTATAATCTGACCCATTGACGGATTATCCTGAATAAGAAGATGCAAGCATTGTTCCCTTCTATGACCAAGTGTCTTTTCTGGATGTGCGTTATTAGTTGCATTTTCAAGTCTACTGTAAATATTATTTATTTCTGAAGAACTCCCTTTTCTTTCGAAGTAACCTCTCCAATTGGCCTGTTATTCAAAACATATTTTTTAACAATACATAAAAAAAAGTAAATTTCAATTGTTTACCTGAATTTTTATTGCTGCATTATGTTCTTTTATTTGTTTTTCCCGTTCTTGTCTCCTGCTTGTAAATTCTTTTTTGAACTTTTTGCGGAACAAATATCCTTTAATACATCTCTGTAGGTTCACGATGGCCTCCATTTTTTCTCTTTCTATTTTCTTTTCTCGTAAAGTCCTTTGGACTTTTACCACAATTTTTTTCAGATTCAAATATCGCGATCTATCGTTAATCATATGCCGTTTTGCTCTAAACCTGTTTTGTATTATAATAACGGCCTTTTTAAGCGTTAAATATCTTTGCCTTTCATTTCTCATTGCTACTGAAGCCCTATATCTCCTTTGAATTAGAATTGTGTATTTTTTTAGTAAAATGTATTCGCGCCTTTGCGTTCTCATTAAATTAATTGATCTATACCACCTTTGTATGGTCACAGTGGCATTTCGAAGATTGTTATACTTATGAATTTCCCTTAACATTGCCCTTTTTGCTCTGTACTTTACTTGAAGAACAATAACTTTTTCTCGAAGGCTTATATAATAAATTCGTTGTTGTTTCATTAATTCATTGGCCCTGAATTTTCTCTGTATCACTATTGCAGCATTATGCTTTTGCAAGAACTGTTGTCGAGTTTTTTTCATTAGTAAATACCTTCTAAACGCCCTTTGAATTATAATTGATGCGGTTTTTAGTTTAGAATACAAAGCATTAGCAATTCTTGATTTTAATTTAGCCCTATATCTTCTTTGAAGTACTACTGTTAAAGTTTTTAACTTGATATAGTAAGCTCTTTCAATTTTCATAGCTTTATTGGCTTTATACTTTTGTTGAATCACTAAAGTGGCTTTATATATGTTTAAGTAGTCTTTCCTGACAGATTTCATTAATCTTAATGCTCGATACCTTCTTTGAATAACGATCGTATATTTTCGAATCATCTGGAAATATGTTTTCGTCATTTTCATGGCCATGGTAGCCCTATATTTCCTTTGTACAAATAGTGCCGCCTTTTGCAATTGCAAATAATCATCTCTAGCGTTCTTCATTGATTTTAAAGCTTTATATTTCCTCTGAATTGTAATTGAAGCATTACGTAAACGTTGATACTCGATTTTAGCAATTTTCATCATCATATTTGCTCTATATTTCCTTTGAACAAATATTGCAGCCCTTCTTAGATTTAAATAATCACATCTGTTATTCTTCATTAATTTCAAAGCTCTATATCTTCGTTGGACATTAATTGTGGCTTCACGTAGGTTTTGGTAATCCCTTTTAACAATTTTCATGGTTCTGTTTGCCCTAAATCTATTTTGTATAGTTATTGTAGCCTGTTTTAATTGTTGATAATTGTTTCGCTCGGTTTTCATTAATTTTATAGCCCGATATCTCTTCTGTATTACAATTGCGGAATGACGTAAGTTTAAGAAATCATTTCTTGCAATTTCTTTAGCTCTTTTAGCTCTGAAGTGCCTTTGTATTACGATAGTTGCTCTTTTTAGATTCTGGTAATTATTTTTTGAATCTCTCATTAATATTAAAGCTCGGTACCTTCTTTGAATTCCTACAGTGGTGTTTTTCAATTTTTGGAAATCATTTTTAGCACTTTTCATAGCTTTATTGGCCTTGTACAGTCTTTGTATGAAAATAGTTCTTTTCCGCAATTCCAGATAATATTTTCTTACCATTTTCATTCGGTATGTTCTTTGAATTGTTAATGTAGCTTGTTTCAAATTTTGGTAAGTTTCTTTGGCACTGTGCATTGCTTTCTGAGCTCTGTAACGTTTTTGAATTATTTGTATTGCTTTTTGTAAATCGAGATATTCTTTTCTTGCACTTTTCATTAATCTTTGAGCTCTAAATCTTTTTTGAATTATAATCACAGCTTGACGTAATGTTTGGAAGTTATTTCTCGCAATTTTTGTTATTACATAACTTTTATATTTTCTCTGCAAAAGCAAAGTAGCTTGATATATCCTCAAATAATTATGTCTAACTATTCTCATTCGTTTCATAGCTCTATATCTTCTTTGGATTGTTATCGAAGCATGGACTAAATTCTGAAAATCGTTTTTGGCAATTTTCATAGCTTTATTGGCTCTATACTTTCTTTGTATAAAAACTGTTGCTTTATACACTTGTAAGTAATAGTTTCTGATACCTTTCATGAGTTTTAAAGCCCTGTAGCGTCTCTGAATTGTAATTGTAGCGTTTCGTAAATTATGGTAGTTATTTTTTGCAATTTTCATTATTTTCATAGCCCTATATTTCGTTTGTAATAATACTGTAGCTTTACATATTTCCATATAGTTATTTCTATCTTTCCTCATTAGCTTCAAAGCTCTGTATCTTCTTTGAATTATTATTGTGGCTTTTCGTAATTTTTGGAAACCATTCCTAGTCTCTTCCATACATTTTTTGGCTCTGAATAACCTTTGTATATAAAGCGTTGCTTTTTGCAAATCTAGATAACGGTTTCTTGCAATTTTCATTTGTTTCAAAGTTCTATAATGATTCTGAATAGTAATGACGGCTGAACGTAAGTTTTGAAAATTCTCTCTTGCTATTTTTGAAGTTCTGTTTGCTCTAAATTTATTTTGAATATAAATCACAGTTTCTTTTAACTTTACATAATATNACAGCGAAACAGTGCATTTCACATACGTTTTATCCATTTTCCGGCACTTACACTCCGTTGTACACTATGCTATCCTGCTCCTATTTTTTGCTTGGTACCTTTACTTCGTCCAATTTCGTTCTTCTTCGATTGACCCGAAAATGATATAAGATACGTATCGTTTGATTGGTTTGATTTCAACTTTTTAAAATGGTTTTAGTCATTTCGGCTTATGCAACACATTCTACAGGTCATTGTACAGTAAAGTCAAGAACTAGGAGCACCAGGAGCTTATCTTTGGAATTGCTAAGAGTGGTGTTTTAAAGAGTATGGAAGTCGATGCAATTTTAAAAAAGTACTCAGCTGTTATAGAAAATGGTATTTTGGGAGATACAAAGCAAGGTAGGTAGAATTATGACAAAATCCTGCAGACATAAGGTATAGTTTTTGTCAAATTTATACTTATAACCTCATTTGCAGATACAAAAGATTTCCTTAAACAAGACAACAAAAGTGAAGTAATATATGTGTTAGATTCGTCTGATGAAGAAAATGATGAATCGTTAATGAAGTGTGTTCAGATTGAGGACCATAAAATTGGGGAAATTGATTTACCAATAGATAAGCTGTGTGAAGCATCTTCATCTAGTTCCCAGAATGAAAATGCTCTTCAGAAACAATTTTCAAGTAGTGTAAAGTATTCCTTGGAATCCTCAGATGATGAGCTTCCTTACATATCACCAATAAAACAAAAACAACATGGTACTAATTGGGATTGTTTGGACCATAAACAAAGCGAAATCGAAAAGGATATTACATCTAGCTGTAGTTCACAAGAACATTCAGGAAAGTTTGCTGGTAATAGTGGCGGTTTTATAATCTTTAGAAAATAAATTATTTTTATTATATATACTTTTGATTGTTTTAGTGTCAAAACAAGCAAGAAAACGAAAAGACCCAAGCCAGAAAGAAAATGAGAAATTAGAAAAAGCAAAGGCAAAAGCTGTAAAAATTGCAGAAAGAAATAAGCTTAAAATTGAAGCAGAAAAGAAAAAGGCTGAAAAACGTATGCTCCAGATTATTCATAAGAACTTAAAACCAGATCAGTGTCTTAAGGTATATCATTTGCACTAAAATTTTTAATTGAATACGTATTGCATTTCTTTTAAAAGACCATTACAGTTTATATAGACTCTAAAATTATTGATCAAAAATATGGAGGAGAAATATTAAATACTCTTCAAAGTAACGAAATATCCTGCAAAATAAACCAGCAACTTCTTCCAGGGGTTATTACATGGAGTTGTCAAATTCAGTCTCAACTGATGAATGAAAATGGGCAGGTAATGCAATTTTTTCTTTTTTAGGAAAATACTAGTATAATAATCAAGTTTTTTGCTTTAGTTAAGTTTAACGAATGAGAAAAATGAAGCCAATGAAGTATTAATGATAATGAACTGGGATGAACTAATTGATCTTGTAAGCAAAGAAACATTTGTTTCATATGTACAAGAGATTAAGAATATTTACGTCAATAAAAGGATTATAATTGGACTTTATGGATTGAAATCTTATTTCCGGTTTGTATGCAAGAAAGTGGCAATTACAAAAAAGTATTAATTATTTTTTCCTTCTTTGTCGACTGAGCTGCAATATTGTCTTACATTAATATAAAAAAATTGTAATTAAGAAGGAAAAATTACATTGAAGAATAATTAATATTTTTTCTGATTTAATATTTGTATGAAAATTAGATAAAAGAATTTTAAAAAATAATTGTTAAATCAACTTAAGGTCAAAGAGCATATTTTTAAATTCATTTATAATAGGTATCAAAAAAGTAAAAAACGAAAAGATTTCCGATCAGCAGTAGAAGGAAAAGGTAAAAAGGCAAAAATAGGCAAGGAAGGCAAGATTTTTGAAGATGCTCCTACTGTGACAGAAACATACTTGGAGGATGCTCTTACAGAGGCTCAAATTTATTGTTCCTGTAATCACAGAATGGTAGACACTACACTGGATCTTGCTCAAATGGTATTGCAACTTACAAAATCCATTGCACAAAAACCTTACAAGTAAGTTTATACAGGATCATTTTTAAAACTATCAAAATTTAATAATTTTCAATCTTATAAGCGAAATATTTAAAGACATGTACTCAAAATTAGGTGAGGGGTGTAAAATATAGAATGAAAAAACTGTAAATAAAACTTTACCACTAAAATGAAGCGTTTCTTGAAAAGAATATGAGTTCTAAACGTTTTTGTTATCTATTAGATTGGAAAAGCAAGCAAAAGACGAGCAATTTAGAATGTATTTATCAGGAGAGAACAGAAACTGTGTTAATGTGGATAAAAGTGGTAATGGGCTACAGCGACTGTGGTCTCAGCAGCTGACTATGTTTCCAATGGCTAGTTTAGAAACTGCAGAAGCTGTTATGTCGAAATATCCAACACCAGCATGTTTAATGGAGGTAATTATTATTATTTTTGTAGATTTATAGTACCATAAGTTAATTTTAGGCATATGAAATGTGCGAGACTTCAGATGAAGGAGAAAAACTTCTCCAGACAATTCCTGTAAGACGTGCCGCAGGACCATTGGCGAACGATAGAAAAATTGGACTTGAACTTAGTAAACGAATATACAAGTTTTTTACCAGTATGGACGGTGATATGGTATTGTAATTTTTACTTGAATTTCAAGTGCATGTGTTTTCACTTTTCGACTTGACGATTTTCCAAAAATTTTTATACCAATAAACATGTTACGTTTTCAAAATAGTCTTGTAATTGTTTCTTCAATTTGACCCTTTAACTAATAAAGTTGTTGAATCACAAAATCGTTACAATAAAATAGTACATTATCATACTCACGATTTTACGTGCCCCTTTAAAGAAAAATTTAGTTTTAAATAGTACTGTTTTTAATGAATTTTTATGTTCCTTCAAATTCTACTTCAAAAGTAAGTCATGTGACCGGTGTCACGATGTTTTTGAATTTTCTACACGTATAAACACGTACCTATCATTTGATACCACAGAATCTTTTTATGCAAAAATTCTGTGAAAATATACGTATTCGTACGAGACGCGTTTTATTAGCATTAAGCATACAACTTAAAACAAATTTTTGGATGTCAAGTTATGCAACCCATTTTACAGATAAATAAATGCCCATTGTAAAAGCATGAATGTTCATGAAATTTTGAATAATTCCTAATTATACCATATTTAATTTTTGAACTAAACAAATGTAACGTAAAAGAAATTACAAAATAAATTGCATTATATCTGCACATCTTGGAGATTAGGAAGTACATGGTATTTTGTGTACATTTTTGATTATAAGCCAAAAAGGTATGTATGCAACTAGAGTCTGTTTATATGATTTGCCGTTCGAAGTATAAATGAAAAACAAAAAATTATGATTGATAACTACAAGAAAGGCCAGAAGGACGTAGAAACACTCTTGATTAATTTAGATTCAAAAATTGAAAATATTTATTTTTATATAATTC